ATCCCTGCACCCTCATCCCCTGGCAGTGCCTCCCCTGCCCAGCCCAGCACCGTGGTCTCACCTCAAAGTCAAAGCTGCCTGCCAGGGCTTCAACATCCAGGTACACGTTTCTTAACAGCCTTGAGGTCCCATGGAAACTCTGAAGGATAAAAAACAAACAAATAAATGGCCAAAATTGAGTTCTGACCTGTGCAACGCCACAGGAGGGTTCCCCAGCAGTGAAATTGGGCAGCAGAGCCGTGGCAATGCACCTACAGCCAATTCATCTTGGAATGACACCATGGCAGATGCTCACTAAAAGGGATTCCTTATGAAAATAGGACCAGATGATTTTGGGGACCAAGCAGCACAAAGAAAGGAGAGCACAAATGACAGCCCAGGGGCAAACGGAACAGGGGAGCACCAGGAGGCTCCAGCACTCTGCCCACAGCCAGGGCACACAAATACCTCATTTTCACTGTCTTCCTCTTCATTCCTCCATTTCTCTGGCACTGCCACGTCCAAGGAACTTTTCTCTTCACAGATCAAATCCAGCAGGTTCCTGGTGTGCCTGGTGGCCTTTGGGACCTCTGCAGGCTGTGAAGGCCAGGAGCCAGGGAAGTGAGGGGTCAGACACAGGAAAGGGGAGACACAGACCCACTGAGACACTGAGCTGCTGCGTTCTGGCAGTTTCCTAACGCTAAACACCTTGGTTTATTTCTGAAGGTGGTTATGTCTATGTTTTGCACACATTTTGCTTTGGCTTCCTTTAAAGGGTCAATTTCTCACCATTTAACAAGTTTCATTGACCCTCAGGTCGCTCTCTAGTAATAAATAAACAAAGCATTCCACATGGTTGTAAACCTTACACTCAGCAGGACAATAGCTCTTTTCATTTTATTCTCAAATGGAAGAGTGAAAATAGTTTATTAAATTGCATTATCTGCATTGTTTGCCATGCTTCATTTGGACACCAAATTCTACTAAAACTCAACACACTTTTTTTCCTCTTCAATATTTATTGAAACAATTCTTTCAATCTGCCAAAGACAGCAGAAGAAAGCTCACCACTAATTTAGCACTAGAAATAGAAGAAAAGAAATAGCTTTTCAACATACAACAGTGCTTCCAAACTGAGAGAAGATGGCAAATCCTGTCATTTAAGTGTCCCCACGCCTGTGGCCCTGTGCAGTGTGCTCCCAGGGCACATTCCCAGGGGACAGGGAGCCTCACCAGCGTTCCTTCCTTGGGGGTGAGGCTGGAGTCCACCACGCTGGCCAGGTCCAGGCTCAGGGCCCCACGGAGGGCGACGGAGGAAGGTGGGGTGAGGCCACGGAGAGGAGAGAGGCTGCCCAGGGCAGGCTGGATGGGGGCCAGCTGGGAGCCTGGGGGCTGCAGGAGCACAGGGAGGTCACAGCACAGCTCACACCCCTGAGCCTGGGACGGGACAAGGAGCTCCCCTGGGCAAACAGGGGCTGTGGGACCAGCCCTGAGCTCCCCTGGGCAAACAGGGGCTGTGGGACCAGCCCTGCTCAGAGACCCCACACCCAGCACACGGGACAGGGCAGGAAATGGGGTTGGGTCACTCACACACTCTGCTTTCAGAATCCTCAGTGGGTCCTGGACACTCCCCTCCCTCCCAGACACACCAAGAGTGGGTGTTTACTGCAGAGTGTCTCACAGCCAAAATCAAAGGTGATTCTGTACCCGGTGTTCCCATCCCAGCTGATTCACTGCCCATCACCCAGGTCTGGGGTCACAAAGCACTTTGTGTCCCTGTCATCCTCTGCCCAGCCCTCCCCAAAGCACTGCAGGCAGATCCTACTCACAGGGAGCTGTTTCAGGAGCTGCTTCTCCTTCTTGTCCTTCTTCTTCTCTTTCTTCTCCTTCTTGTCCTTCTTGTCCTTCTTCTCTTTTTTCTCCTTCTTTTCCTTCTTCAGGCTGCCCCGTGCCAGCAGCTTCTCCCTCTCCCTGATGACCAGCTGCTTGTAGTGCTCATCACAGGGGTGCTCCCACGTGGAGAGGCCACTCTCAAAGTTGAAGAAATAGATGTCACCCCCTGCAATATCCTGGCTGCAGGGCAAAAACAGCAGGGAAAGGTCAAAGAGCACAAATTAAAAATACAGTTGCACAGGCCAGAACACCCCTGCTGATGGTGGGAGCACCTGAAGCTCAGGGAAGAGGAGTGTGATGTGTCCAGGAGGCCACAAATGTCCCAGTGTGGGAAGCAGCTCTCCCAGGATGCTCCTACCCAGCTTCCCAAACCCTTCCTCCCCTTCTGCTGCCCCAAAAAGCCTTGAGCTCCTGATACCCCACCAAAGCCAGTCCTCTGCCAGCTGGAGCCGTTCCCCTTGTCCTGTCACTGGGAATGCCCAGCACAGCTGCTGCCAGAGCTCTCACCAGGCCTTCCACTCGGGGGGCATTGGGGTCACCAGGCACTCCCTGGCCAGCCACAGCAGCTCTGACTCCTTGTCGGGGTCAATCCCGATTGTTGGTGCAAAATCCCGGATTTCTGGGGAAACGGAGAGCAATCTGTGAGCTTGGTCCCCCCAGCAGAGCCACCCTCCTCAGGTGAAGCTGTGGGCACACTGGGAAATCCCGAGGCAAAGCCAGCAGCAGAGTCCTGCGTGCCTGTGGAGCCAGGCTGGGGACAGGGGCAGTGACATTCAGCTCTGCCTCCGCTGAAATCCCCCTCTGTGTTCTGCCCTCTCCAGCCACGCCAGAAACCAACCCCTGTGTTCTGAACACACCTGGAAGTGACCTGAGTGCCCGAATGCCCCCTCCCAGCCCCTGGGAAGAGGGGCTCACTCACCCTGCTCCTTAGGAACGTAGGATTCATTGTAGTCCTCTTCCAGAATGAGCTGGTCCCCGATGCGCACGGCTCCTGCCATGGGTGCCACACCTGGCACGGGGAGGAACCACACAGAGTCACAGCTGCCCTCAGGAAAGGCAATTCCTCAGCCCCAGCACATGGCAGAGCCCTTCTGCTGCAGCACACACAGCAAAACTCAACCAAAGAGCCTCCACACACACTTCCACGGGCTGTGGAAACGGAGAGCAGAGCTGAACTGGAACAAAGGTATAACCACATCCCCCAGGCCTCACAGCTCCTACAGGAAAGGTGCTTCAGGCACTTTCTGAGCAGGTACAAAATAAGCTGAAATGAGACAAGGAAGGAAGAGAAAGCAAGCACCTTTCCCAAAGCATTGCTTTGTGATTTAACTCCCAGAGCACACCACAGCTGGGCCCTTCCAGCCCATCCAGCACGGTTCCCACAGCTGGAATTCACCCAGCTCACCCCAAACACCCTCACCTGCGGCTCTGTGTGGCCACATTTGGCCAGCACAAGCACTGTGGGACCACAACTGCTGCTCAAACACACAATTGAATGCCAAGGTCAAACATTCCAGCCTAACCCCCCCAAATTCTCAGTGCAAAAAGCATTCCTGTGCTTTCCTTGTGAGACCCAAGGGGTTGTGGTACCTGCCAGGTACCCACAGTGACAGCAGCCAGAGCAGGATCAGCGCCTGTGACACGGCCAGCACTGCCCTCTCCACCTCCCTGCGTCCTCAGCCCACTCTGTATTTATAACTCTTATGTAAAGTAAGTCTTAGAGGCAGCCACTAACTAATCCTGGCACTCCCAGCTGATGATATCCTCAGGAGATCCAAACCACACCAGCAGCATCGAGCTCCCACCACTGCCCCTCCCAAACATCCCCACTCTGAGCGTTTGGGTGTGGGCACCTCGCTCAAGGCCTTCTGTTCTTCTTTTCCTCTCCCAAAACTGTCTCAGCCCCGTCTCCCATCCCTGGTGTTGGCACCGGGGGATGAATGATGGGCTCACTCCTCTCTTGGAGAATTTGCCTTGCCACATATGGGGGGGACCTCGGTGCGACCTTTCAGTGCTTGAGGGGCAGCTGTAATAGATGGGGACAAGGGGGAACGGCTTTAAACTAAAAGAGGAGGATTTAGGTGAGATCTGGGGAGGGAATTCTTTCTGGTGAGGGAGGGGAGACCCTGGCACAGGGTGCCCAGAGAAGCTGCGGCAGCCCCATCCCTGGAAGTGCTCAAGGCCAGGTTGGATGGGGGGGCTTGGAGCGAGCTGGGGTAGTGGAAGGCCCATGTCCATGGCATGGGGGTGGAACAGGATGATTTTCAGGTCCGTTCCAACCCAAAAAACCGTTCTATAGCCCTGTGCAAACAGGACCGAAGCCTCAGTACAGCCGCCGCCGCGCCAGCCTGGAGCCATGGAAAAAGCGCGGCGAGCAAGGAGAACAAACACCTTTGGTTGATAAGGTATTTGAAAAAGTAGGGGAAAAAAAAGCCATTTTCGCCCGTATCACGACAGCACCCACGCGACACTCGCACAGCCCGGAGCCCGCGTGCGGCGGGAGGCCGGAACCGCGCGGCGCGGGGCCGCTCCCCGCAGCCCCCGCTCACCGAGGGGACCCTCCCGGGGCCCGGGCCCGGCTCCCCGCCGCTGTGGGGCCCCTCCCCGCCCGCCGCTCACCGTGCCGCGGGCCCCGTCCGCCGCCCCGCGGGTGCCGCCGGTTGCCGGGAGCGCGGGAGCCGCCGCGGCCGCTGCCCCGGGGCCCGCCCCCTCCCCGCCATTGGCCGGCGGGGCGATGCGCGCCACCCCATTGGCCGCCGGGGAGGCGGGACGCATGACGTCACCGCGGCGGGGCCGCCGGGGGCTGCGGTTGCCATGGCGACGCGTGGGTACCGCCCGCGGCCCGGCCCGGTCCGTCCCGGCGCGTCCCGGTGTGTCCCGGCGGGGCGGGACGGGGCAGCGGGACGGGCACGGGCAGGGGGACCGGCCAAGGGCCGCGGTACCGGGCAGGGCCGGGGCGGGTCTCTCGGCGAGCGCTTCCGCCGGCGGGCGGGCTTTCCGGGGCGGGTCCGTGCGCGCCGCCATGCCCGCCGCCGCCGCGCCGCCCGCCCGCCCCGGCGCGGCCGCCCCGCCGAGGCGCGGGGCGCTGCGGGCCCGCTGACCGCGTCCCCCGAGGGCTCCCCGCGGCCATGGCGCCCGCCTGGCCCTGGCTGCTGCTGTGGCTGGGCGTCCTGCGCGCCCTCCCGACCCCGCCGCGCATCCGGCTGCCGCTGCGGGGCGGCGCGGCCCCGCCGTCGGGGCTCCGGCAGCGCCGGGCGCCGCTGGACGCCGAGCCCGACAGCGCCGGCAGCTTCGTGGACATGATCGACAACCTGCGGGGCAAGTCCGGGCAGGGCTACTACGTGGAGATGACGGTGGGCAGCCCCCCGCAGAAGGTGAGGTGGGAGGGGATCCCCGCATCTCTCGCATCCCCCGCATCTCCCCCATCCCCTGCATTCCCCGCACCCCGGGGGCTGCGGGTGCCCCTCCGGGCCGGTGCGGGGCTGCGGGGCGCAGGGCAGAGGCGCTGCGGGTGCCACCATGGCTCCGCGTGCCTCTCGCCGCACGGCCCGGGCAGCATTCCTGCTTCTCATCGCTCCGGCGATGCTTTTCCTGCCGCCTTTCGGCTAAAACTGGCCGCAGGGCCCCGCCGAAGGTGACCCCAGCGCTCCCGGGGCTGCCCGGGCACTCCGGGCGCGGTGGCCGGTGCTGCGTGTGCCTCTACGTGCGGGCGAACCAGGCTGCATCGCTCCATCCCTCCCTTCCCGCTCCATCCCTCCTCCCTCCGTGCCTCCCTCCCCGCTCCCGAGCCGAGGATGCCGCTGGAGCTGCGCGGGCTGTGGGCGGCAGGCGGGTGGGATGTGGCTGCGCAGCCCCGTGCCCGCCTGGAGCGGGCACATGCGGGCACGGAGGAGCCCACGGCCGAGCCGGGCTTGGCAGCTCCTCCCAGCACAGCCCCGGGCGCAGCTGCTGCCTGGCTCTGCCTGCTGCTCCCGGCCGCGGAAATTCTCCAGAAATCCTCCCGAGCTCGGCTTTCCCGGGGACCTCGTGATGGTTTTCGCTGTGCAGGAGTTGGGGCAGCGTGGGGAGACAAAGTGCAGGAAAATGGGATGGAAAGGGAGCCGGCAGAGCAGGCGTTGGTGCGTCACCAGGCTCTGATCCTGCTCCATCTTTTTGTCAGCATCCCTCACATGCTGCCCAGCTCGTGTGGCACCGTGTGCCCGCCTGCTGGGGACAGGGTGAATGCTGAGGGCCAGGTGCCAGTCACACAGCACAGGACAACCAGCTCCTCCCCTCTTTTATGGATGAGATCGGGGAGGTTCCCACTGCTAAATCCTTTTGTGCCCATCCTGATCCCCGTTGTCACCAGCAACAAGTCTAGCCCAGGGGTCCAGCTCAGTGATCAAGGCTCCAGGTTCCTTCAAGCACAGGGCCACATTCCTTTATGCCTGCCGTCACTTTTTGGGTGCTGCCAGAACAGCCAGCACCCACACAGGCTCTGAAATAAAGGCTGGCTTTCCCCACGAGCTGGCTGTGCTCTGCGTGCGTGGTGGGAGAGAGAAACAGGAGCAAGATGTGGACGGAGGAACGATACCACTGCCTTGGAAATTGCATCTCTGGGAGCACTATTGTGTTGTCCCTGTGTGCCTGGGATATATTGCCTGGCAGGGTGTGTTTAGGAGGAAAAATAAAGGGAGGAGATTATTTCTAAAATCTGGTTTTAAATGTGATTTCATCATCTCCTGCCTGCCACGTGTCGCAGCTGCCAGATAATTTCCGTGCGAACCACCTGTTCCAGGCACCCGCGCGTTCCGGAGCCAGCCACCCTTTGGGCAGCATCTCCCAGCCTTGGATTGCTTCCAAATGCAACCGTGGTGCCTGTGTGTGTGTGTGTGTGTGTGTGTGTGTGCTGGAGCAGAATCCCTCCAGGCATTGCAATGGAATGAGAGGATTCCTATGAAAGAGTTGGGCTGTGCCTCTGCAGGAAATTGGGAGCCCGCTTGCCCCGGGGTGGGTGCATCCTTCCCAAAGGCTCTCACGAGGCAGGGAGATGGTGATCCATCTCCTCACCTTTCCTTTCACCTTCCCGATGCTGACAAGGAAGTTTCTGTATCCCCTTGTGCTTTAATTTTGGTTCTGAGCCGTGCTGTGCTGCCAAGTCACCGTCAGCAGCTGATTGCTCACACATTCCATGTGCCCAAGCATGTTGGTTTCCCTGGCTCCCCAGAACGGGCTGATTCATAAACACACAGGGGAGAGGGGTGAGCCGAGCAGCAGGAGCTGGTGTTTTGGGACAGATGGCCCAGGATTGGTGCCCCAGGAGCAGCACACAGCTCTAGGGGCATGTGTGGCACAGAGCCAGTGCTGCTGCTGAGGTGCCTGGAGGGGCTGTCACTTCCAGGGACAGGTTTCAGGCAGTGCAGGGACTGCCACACATGTCTTGGCCTCCCCAGTTCACGTGCCATGTCCTGGCCTGAATGGATGGCTGGACTGAGTCTCAAGGATCTGGGTCCTCTCCACGTGGGTCCTGTGCGTGACCCCTTGAGCAGGATGGAGCCTGTGAGTTTAAAAGCCCTCCCTGCCTTCTCTCCCTGCAGCGTCAGCTCAGCAGGTCCTTCTCCAGGGAAACCAGTCTCCTCTGGGTGCCCTGGGGATTGCAGATGAGCTGTGTGGAGCAGGTGGCCCCTAATGGCACAGAGCTGGGAGCAGCCCTGGGAATGCAGGTGCTGGGTTGCCAGGCTGTGTGGTGGGTACTGAGCTGGCACCCACCCAGGGTGGGGACTGGGGGGTTGAACGTGCTGCTCTGGTCTTTACCCACGGCCTGAAACGTTCCCCTTGGCAGGGAGGTGGAGCTGGGGCACTCAGGACATGCCAGCCCTGTCAGGGAGAGCACTGGGCAGCTGCAGCCGGTGCTGCTGCGATTAACACAAGCGCATTAACCTCCTTCCTCTGCCTCTGACTGCACAGATTAGGGGCCAGAGCCCTGGAGCTGCTGCCCGGGGTGCTGCTGTGAAGCAGCTCCTGGGTCTGGGGCCAGGGCTTACCCCGAGTTCTGCTGCCCAGCACTGCCAGGAGGCTCAGACAGCCCCAGTCCCACTCGGGCTGTCCCACCAGGGCTGTCCCCCCTGGCCATCCCACCTCTCTCCTCACCAGGGCTCAGGGTCAGCCGAGGGCAGGGTCAGGCTGGCCCACTCCTGCCCTGCCAGTGGATGTTTACCAAGCATGGTAATCCTGCCCAGGCAGGAATGAATCAGGAGCAGGGCTCAGCATATGGGTGGTGATTAGCGGGCACAGGGACCCACGGGGGCTGCCCACCAGCAGTGCCAGCAAATCTGCTTTCCTGGCAGGGGGAGCCTGTGCACCCTGTGTTGTGCTGCTGCTCTCCGGCCCCAAGACACCTGCCAAGTGCTTCCTGAGTCCTGCCTGTGCATTTGGGGGCTGAGGCCGAGCGAGGAGCTCGTGCTCTGTTTGCACAGTGCAGGATGGTGTTTGCTCTTTGTGCAACTCCCTGATGTCGCTGCCTCCTGCTCCACCTCCTCCTTCTCTCCGGGCACAACAAAAGGGGGTCCCACTGCACTCATGAGCCTTCCTGTCTTTCTTCCTTCTCCAGCTGAATATCCTGGTGGACACAGGGAGCAGTAACTTCGCTGTGGGAGCTGCACCACACCCCTTCCTCCGGAGATACTACCAGCGGCAGCTGTGAGTATTCTGGGGGCACACAGGGCACAGCCTCTCAGGCACACTGCTTCTCCTTGCTGCAGGTCTGGCCAGACCCTGCCAGGTACGGCCTCTGGAATGGCTGGGTGCACACAAACCCTGCTGGTCTGACTCGTCCCTTTGCTGCAGGTCCAGCACCTACCGTGACCTGCGGAAGGGGGTGTACGTGCCCTACACCCAGGGCAAGTGGGAAGGGGAGCTGGGCACTGACCTTGTCACCATCCCCCACGGCCCCAACGTCACTGTCAGAGCCAACATCGCTGCCATCACGGAGTCTGACAAATTCTTCATCAACGGCTCCAACTGGGAAGGGATCCTGGGGCTGGCGTATGCCGAGATTGCCCGGGTGAGTCTTGGCTGACAGTCCTGGATGTCAGCACCAAAACGCTTCAGTTGCCTTTTTCCTTGTCCCTGTTTGTCCCCTGGGGCACAGCAGTGCTGCTGAGGGGAGCTCCCATGGGTGCAGAGAGCTCCTGGAGAAGGGACAGCACTGACACATCCCTGTCCTGCCTCTGCTTTCTCCTCCCACCAGCCCGACGACAGCCTGGAGCCCTTCTTTGACTCCCTGGTGAAGCAGACACGGGTGCCCAACATCTTCTCCCTGCAGCTGTGCGGGACAGGCTTCTCTCCCAACGAGACAGAGGCCGTGGCCTCGGTGGGAGGCAGCATGGTGAGCCCTCCACAGGTGGCTGGGGGGTTCCTCTGTGGCACTGCCAGCGCGTGGTGGCAGCGCCGTCCTGTCTGCCCTGCAGATCATCGGTGGCATCGACCGCTCGCTGTACGTGGGTGACATCTGGTACACCCCCATTCGCAAGGAGTGGTACTACGAGGTCATCATCGTCAAGCTGGAGGTCAACGGGCAGGACCTGAACATGGACTGCAAGGAGGTGAGTGGGCAGTGGTGGGACCTGCCCCACGGGCACTGGAGGCACCCAGCATTGGTCAGGGAAGTGGGCTGGGGTCCTGCACCTGGGTCACTCGTCCTCTTCTGCCCCCCCAGTACAACTACGACAAGAGCATTGTGGACAGCGGGACCACCAACCTCAGGCTGCCAAAGAAGGTGTTTGAGGCTGCAGTGAAATCCATCAAAACAGCATCTTCGGTGAGTGGAACCCATCCCTTCCCCACAGACATGGGCTAGGGGCTGTGGGCAGTGCGGCTGCCCCTCACCAGCCTGGCATCTCTGCTGCCTGCCCAGCTTGGCCCCGCTCACCTTCCCTTTCCCTCTGGTAGACGGAGAAGTTCCCAGACGGCTTCTGGCTGGGGGAGCAGCTGGTTTGCTGGCAGGTGGGCACCACCCCCTGGCACATCTTCCCGGTCCTGTCCCTCTACCTGATGGGGGAGGCCACCAACCAGTCCTTCCGGATCACCATCCTGCCCCAGGTGAGTGCTGGGCTGGCCAGACCCGGGCTGGAGAGGGCAGGGCAGGCAGGGCCACGCTGGATGGACACAGCTGCCTCCCGTGCCCCCTTCCCTGAGCGCTCCTCTCGCCCTGCAGCAATACCTGCGCCCGGTGGAGGACGTGGCCACCTCTCAGGACGACTGCTACAAGTTTGCCATCTCCCAGTCCTCCACGGGCACCGTCATGGGCGCCGTGATCATGGAGGGTTTCTACGTGGTGTTCGACCGCGCCCGCAAGCGCATCGGCTTCGCCGTCAGCGCCTGCCACGGTGAGCTGGGCCTGCGGGGAGGGCATGGAGCGGAGTGGGTGGGTGTCACAGACATCTTCTGTGAAAAATCCTGTCCTTGGGGTTCTTCCTCCTGAGAAGCTGAGCGGCCTCAGGAACAAAATGTAAACAATGGTTATCTGCTGCTGTGGAATGCAACAGGTGCATCTGGGATTGGGCTCATGTGGTTGTTTCTAATTAATGGCCAATCACAGCCCGGCTGGCTCGGACTCTCTGTCCAAGACAGAAGCCTTTGTTATCATTCTTTCTTTTGTTATTCTTAGCTAGCCTTCTGATGAAATCCTTTCTTCTATTCTTTTATTATAGTTTTAATATCATATTAAAATATATAACAATATTATATAATATATATATAATATTTATATATATAATATTTTTTATATATATATATAATATATTATAAAATAATAAAGCAAGCCCTCTGAAACATGGAGTCAGATCCTCATCTCTTCCCTCACCCTGGGACCCCTGTGAACACGGTCACAGGTGTGCAGAGACCAGACCGTGCCTCCCCTTCCCACAGTGCACGACGAGTTCCGGACGGCGGCGGTGGACGGGCCCCACCTGCACTCCAACATGGAGGACTGCGGCTACAACATCCCTCAGACGGACGAGTCCACGCTGATGACCATCGCCTACGTCATGGCGGCCATCTGCGCCCTCTTCATGCTGCCCCTGTGCCTCATGGTGTTCCAGTGGCGCTGCTTCCGCTGCCTGCGGCGCGACCATGACGACTTTGCTGACGACATCTCCCTGCTGAAGTGACGGCAGAGCATGGGCACGGCCCCGGGGCAGCAGGTGAGGCAGCAGGGCAGGGGCCTTGCTCCTGGGGTGTGGTGGAGTGTGGGGACCTCTCACACCCTGGGGACTTGGGGTCCATCAGGGCCAGCAGCCAGGGGAGCCCCAGCCCAGGCTCCATTTGTCTGGGAGCTGCAGCAGGAGCGTGGCACAGGGCAGTGGGAGAGCTCAGCAACCCCATCCTGGGAGTTGAGGGCAGCTTCTCTGCTCCAGCACCAGGACAGGACCAAGCTCTCCCACCCAGCCTTGCCTGGCTTGATGGAGTAATGCTGATGAGCCATCCCCTGCCTGTCCCCATCCATCCCTGTGCGTCCCTTTCCAGCTCACCCCGCTGGGAAGCTGCCAGCCCAGGCTCTCTTGTAGGGAGCTGTGCTGCAGCTGTGCCTCCCCTGTGACTCCCTGCACTGAGCCAGACTCCAGGGATCATCCTGGAGCCATCCAGCCTCGGGCTTTTCAGAGACAGCCCTGCAGGGCCAGCCTGGGCTGCCCAGACAGGGCTTTCCCTCCTGCCCTGCTGCCCCTACACTGCTCACTCTCACATTTCCCCTGCGTTTTCCTGCCTTCCCGAGCTGTGCTGCCGCTGCTGCCAGCCCCAGGACTCCCTGCACCCTCCTGGGACAGGCAGGAGCAGGCACCCATCCTCTCCTGGGACAGGCAGGAGCAGGCACCCATCCTCTCCCCACATCACACGGGATGGGAAACTCCCTGCCCTGGCTTCCAGCATCAGCAGTGGCTGCCATGCAGAAGCCAGTGCCAGGAGTGAAGTTCCCAGCCCTGGCAGGGGCTGCTCCCCAGCCCACCCAGCCCTTTGAAAGCCATAGGGGAGCCTGGGCCCCCCCTGCAGCCCGCCCAGCTCACCGCCAGCGCATCCCACGGCACAGCAGCTCCTCCCTGCTCACTCCACACGTCCAGGCCTGGCTGTGAGACACCCTGGCATCCCGGGGACAGGCGGCAGCTGCGGGAACTGCAGCATTTATTGTTTTGTAAACACATGGTTGTATTTATTTTCTTTTTTTTTTACAAAGCGTGTCACTGGTAGCGCAGCTGCGCGTTGAGAGCGTGTACAGAGCCGGTCCCACGTGTACAGAGCACGGCCACCTCTCACCTGTACAGTATATCCATATATCTCTATTTTTAATTCTAGCCCTGAAAGCCACTGTTCCAACGTTAGGGGTCGGTCCTGTTTTGTTTTGGGTTTTTTTTAAATCTTTTTAGCCTTCTGCTCAGCCCTCGGCCGCTGTGGGCAGCACGCAGGGCCAGGGCTCACGCTGCAGCCATGTGTGTGTGGTGGGAGCATGTGGTGGTGGCTTGAGGAGGGGCTGCGGGGCTGGAGCACGCAGAGCAGTGGCTCACAAGCCCAGAGGACCCTGAGCACAGAAGGCACCTCTGTCCTCAGAGAGGATTTTCGGTGTGTGAGGACAACCCCTCCTCCCCGTGCTGCAGGGTCACCGTCCCTTCCCCAGAGCAGACACCTGTGACCCTGCAGGCAGTGGTAGTGCTGTATTCCCTTGCTTCTCTGCCTCCAGCCTGGATAGGAAAGAGCCCAGACACAGAGATTCCACAATTGAAAGGCATCACTCCTCCGTGAACAAAGAGGGGATACCTGCAGTGCCAGGGCCGAGCTGGCAGCTGCCCACGGAGCCACCGGGTCAGGCAGGGACAGACTGAGCACCCACAGCAATCACCGAGCACAGAGCTTGTTAATTAAACCCTGCAGCCAAACGTTTCTCTGGGAAGGCAGCGAGGCAGCCAGGAAACACAGGCAGAGTAGGAAAGCAGCCAGCCCTGCACGGGGCACTGCCACAACAGCCCCCACACTGCCCCTGCTCACACAGAGCCCCCCGGCCCCAGCCTCGCTCCAAACCCCAGCCAGCCACTCCCTGCAAGAGGACAACGCTCTGCCCCCACCCTCGTGCCTGCCCAGGACCCCCAGGACCCCAGAGACTCTGTTGTGGACTACTGCCTTAAAACACACCCCGAGCGCGCGCGCCGCAGGAGCCAGGTGGGCACCGGGGGCTGCCCTGCCCTCCTGGGGCACCAGGGGCTGCCAGCAGTGCCCAGTTCTGCAGCAGGTGGGCACCGGGGGCTGCCAGCAGTGCCCAGTTCTGCAGCAGGTGGGCACCGGGGGCTGCCAGCAGTGCCCAGTTCTGCAGCAGGGGCTGCCCTGCCCTCCTGGGGCACAGGGGCTGCCAGCAGTGCCCAGTTCTGCAGCAGGTGGGCACCAGGGGCTGCCAGCAGTGCCCAGTTCCTGCCACAGACTGACAGGAAACGGAGGGGATTTTTCGAGAGTCATTGCAAGATTTTCAGGGGTGCTGAGCACCTCGCAATCCCACCGAGATCCATGGAGAAAGGGCTGGTGAGCCAGCCCGAGCTTGAGGAGGAAGGACAGGAGGGGGAACGCAGGAATTTTGACAGGTTGGTTTATCCTGAGCTGCAGCGCAGCCGCGTCCCTCCGCTCCCTCCCCGGGCCCGGGGACAGCAGGGATGGGATGGGACAGGATGGGACCATGGGCTGTCGCTGGAGGCTCCAGTACTCTGTAACCCAGTGTCTATGTAAGAACAATGAATGTTAACACGGTAAATTATTATGACATTAAAATAAATGACCACAAAAAATCAGCTCTTCGTCTGCAACTCGTTCGCTGGCAGGAGGGGAAAAAGCAGGGGAGGAGTGGCAGGGATTGGGGGTGGTGAGGCTGCAGGTCATGAGGAATGGCCCTAGGAAAGGAGCTGATGGGAGCCAAGTGGGAAGAGGTGGTTCCCAGCAAGCAGGGAACGCTGACCCTCATTTGGAAGAAGCCAGCAAGGCTGCAGAGTAAGAAATGAGGAGCTGCAGCAGATCACTGCATAATATACACACTTTATTTATGAATTTGTATGTTTACAGACTTTCTATACACACATTACCTATATAATAAAAATGTACATGTGTATACATGATCGTATAAATATAGAACTGTAGAAATCTTAGAACTGATCCTGTCTATTCACAGCAACTCCTCCCAGGGGCCCACGTTGTCCCAGCAGCCGTCATTTGAGGCTTGGGCAAAAGGGGCAAGTGTCATTCGTGTTGGTCTGTGCCCAGAATTTGATGCACTGGAAGAGAGAGAATTAGTCAAGAGCCACTGGGCCAACCCAGAGGTGCCATCATTGTCCACAGCACTCGCTTCAGGGCTGGTTTCCTTTGCTCCTGCAGCCTCCAGCACAATGTCACCGTGAGGAAGGAGCCCTTGTCACCCCTGCAGGACCATCAGGCCCTCCTCAACAGGAGTTTCCATTTCCTTGGGCTGGAGGTCCCAGAGCTGTTGGGATGGGGGGCTGCCCACACAGGTGACCCACTGCCAGACCCATGGGACAGGAAAGTCTCCTCCTCTTGCCAAGAGCTCCTCTCTGGCATCCCCACCCAGACACCTGGGCAGCAGTGGCAGCTCTCCCCTCACCCTGTGTTCCAGGTCCTTCCAGACTGCCTTGCTCCAGCATCCAACCCTCACAGACACAGCACAGGCTCAGGGACACAAGGGCAGCCTGTTCCTAAAGCCACCACCCACTGGCCATGCAGGGTGGCCCAGCCAAGAGTAAAGGATGGGATGACAGGATGCAGGGAAGCTGTTTATTGATCGTACCCTTCTCCTGGCAAGGTGCCAGGACAACAAGGACTGCGGAAGGGTCACCTGGAAGGACCAGGAGGAGGCTCTGAGCAGCAGAACACACTCACCTCCTTGTGCAGCACGTGTGAGCAGGCCATGGGGTGAAGGTCACCAGGCTGCACGAGCTTCTGGCACATCAGACACAGCTTACAGGCAGCTGGGGTCTGCGAGGGGCAGTGAGGGAAAGAAAGGAGGAGGCAGGGAAGTCAGACACACAGCTCTGACCACGGATTCAGCTGCAGCCCAAGGCCACAGGGTGTTCAGTTCCCTCTGCCCACAGCCATCACACCCATCATGTCTGGTGTCCCTCTGTTCTGGTGTGAAACCCAAAGGATCTGTGCCCCCAGTCCTTCCCCCTTCACCTCAGCAGCCCAGGTAGCCGTGTGAGGAGAGAGCTCCCAGCTCCAGGGGCTCATCCCATCCCTTCAGGACCCCCAGGCAGGCTCCCCCCTCCCCAGGGAAGACAAGCAGCCTTACGTGCGACGCCGTTCCTGGGTAGGCGACCTGGGCCGGGGGCAGGAACATGGGCGTGCTGATCTGAGGCAGGGGAGCAGAGAACATGGGGGCTCTGATCCGGCCCAGAGGCTGCAGCGAGGCCGAGGAGGCACGTCAGAACAGCCCAGGAGGAAAGGACAGAGGAGTCACCCCAGGGAAAACTGTTCCCAGGTTACGCTGCAGTCAGCAGGACAGGGAGCCCAGGGACAGCCCTGACGCACAGCCTGAGCTCTGTGGGGAGGCAGGGAGCAGGGGCAGCTCTCCTGCTCCCCAGCCAGCTCTCCTGCTCCCCAGGCAGCTCTCCTGCTCCCCAGACAGCTCCCCCTGCTCCCCAGGCAGCTCTCCTGCTCCCCAGGCAGCTCTCCCTGCTCCCCAGGCAGCTCTCCCTGCTCCCCAGGCAGCTCTCCTGCTCCCCAGGCAGCTCCCCCTGCTCCCCAGCCAGCTCTCCTGCTCCCCAGCCAGCTCTCCTGCTCCCCAGGCAGCTCTCCTGCTCCCCAGGCAGCTCTCCTGCTCCCCAGGCAGCTCTCCTGCTCCCCAGGCAGCTCTCCTGCTCCCTAGGCAGCTCTCCTGCTCCCCAGGCAGCTCTCCTGCTCCCCAGGCAGCTCCCCCTGCTCCCCAGCCAGCTCTCCTGCTCCCCAGCCAGCTCTCCTGCTCCCCAGACAGCTCTCCTGCTCCCCAGGCAGCTCTCCTGCTCCCCAGGCAGCTCTCCTGCTCCCCAGGCAGCTCTCCTGCTCCCCAGGCAGCTCTCCTGCTCCCTAGGCAGCTCTCCTGCTCCCCAGGCAGCTCTCCTGCTCCCCAGGCAGCTCCCCCTGCTCCCCAGCCAGCTCTCCTGCTCCCCAGCCAGCTCTCCTGCTCCCCAGACAGCTCTCCTGCTCCCCAGCCAGCTCTCCTGCGCCCCAGCCAGCTCTCCTGCTCCCCAGGCAGCTCTCCTGCTCCCCAGGCAGCTCCCCCTGCTCCCCAGGCAGCTCCCCCTGCTCCCCAGCCAGCTCTCCTGCTCCCCAGACAGCTCTCCTGCTCCCCAGCCAGCTCTCCTGCTCCCCAGGCAGCTCTCCTGCTCCCCAGGCCCCCTCGCAGCAGCCCCCAGGCTGTCCCACCTGAGCACCGGCCGCTGCCCGCTCCTGCTGCTCTGCCAGCTTGGCTGCCACCAGCTGGTTCAGCTCCTCCATGGTCAGGCCGGCCATGGTCCTCCGGGCAGTCTTGATCTGCTGCAGGATGTTGGTCAGCTGGGCCCTGCATGGACAGCAGCCTGCTAAGAGCTCCTGGTGCTCACACAGGGGGATCCCTCAGCCAGTGCTGCCTGCGGGAATCCGTGTGCTTCCCCTCCAGCCTCCAGTGAGGTGAGCCACGTGCTGAGGAGCTTCTCTCCCCAAACCACTGGGGATAGCGCAGGGAACCCCCAGAGCCAGGCTGAGGGGGCTGTGCCCAGATATCCCTGCCATCCTGCAAAGCTCCCAGTGATCCCCAGCACTACAGCAAACCTGCTGGAGACCACCACCTCTGCCAGCCTCCCTTCCCACAGACACCAGGAGCCCCCCTTGCCCTGATCCCAGCGCCCAGAGCCCTCACAAGCCCCTGCCCTCCCCAAACCACCAGCAGACCCTTACTTGTTGCACTGAGGGAAGCGAGTGAGCAGCTTCTCCAGCAGCTTCTCCAGCTTGTCGGCCGGCTGGGCCCGGGGGAACTCGGGGGCGCCGCCCAGGCCAGGCGGAGGAGGGATGGGGGCAGCGGGGGCCATGTGGGGGCTGTGAGTGCCCAGCAGCGACGCCACCACCGGGCTGCTCCTGCCCTGGGAGGCAGGCAGGGGTGGGGAGGGCTGGTTGGGCCTGGACATGGCGGGGTTCAGCAGAGGGAAGGACAGAGCCCGGGGATCGGCACTGGGCATGACCATGGGGACGGGGACGGGCCCGATGGGGAAGGGCAGCCGGGGGGTCAGGGATGGGTTGGGCTGGAATGCCGTCAGCATGAAATCTGTCTGAGAAAGAAAAGTGGGGCAAGAGGGAAAGGCTGGTTAGAGCAAGAGCACCTGGAAGCAGAGCTGAGTGCCCTCCTCTGCAGGCAGTGAGGTGGGAACTGCAGGCACTGGTGGCTGGAAAGGGAAGGAGACCCTTCCCCTCCTCTCTAGTAAGCCCAGACAGGGAATGGGCCATCCCACACATGGGAATGGGAATGGGCCATCCCACACATGCCCAGCACCAGGCAGGCTGTGCCAGGGCCTGGCAGCACCATGCTGTGGGGCTGGAGAGGCACTCACTTCTGAAGGTGGAGGAGGCAGCGTCGGTGTCGGGATCTGGGGGAGGCTGCTCAGCTTTGTGCCATTCCTCACCATCTGGATGTGGTCATTGAACTGATCCTGGCAGAGAGGAAAGAAAACAGGCAGGTCTATCAAACCTAAGCAAGTTTGGGCATTCTAAGGCAGGCGGTGGCAGGCCCTAAAGTGGCCTCCACTGTTTGGCTCCACAAGGAACAGAGAGGAGCTGAAGGGAGGAGCACTGTGTATGTGAAGGGCTGCTCACTGTGTGTGTGAGGAACTGCTCACTGCTAGGCTGGGAGAGCTCAGCAGGAACTTACCCGGACGCTTTGCTTGGTCATACGTATCCTGTTCAGCCTCATCTCCCACTCCTGCTTTGGCCTCATGGTCTCCAGCGTGGGCGGCGCAGACCTGCAAGCACAGCTGAACTTTCCCACTTGCAACTGTGCTCTCACTGGCTGCAGAGTGGGAACAGCAACCCCCACACCCTCCTGGCTTCCCTTCCTCCAGAGGGGTGGGAAGGGCTCACCCCCAGGTGGGGCACCCCACAAGGGAGAGGGAATGACCTGGGGGACACAGGGACACCACAGCCAGCAGCACTGGCTGGTGAACAGTGACAGGAGACAAGCACAGCCCACATGCCCTTGCTGTGGGACATTGTTGAATCACACTGATCCAGTAAGAAAACCACAGGAAATCCTGAACTATTCCAGTCCAACCTCCAACGTAAGCAGAGGAAGAGGAGATGGGACACGGGGACACCTGAGTGACCCTCCCTGCCACTTCTGACACAGACTTACTTGAGGTAGGTGAGGTGTAGCTCTGCTTCTTTTTCTGCTTCTTCTAGTTTCAACACCAGCAGCTCCTTCCGGCTCTCCAGGGACAGGATCTATGGACAGAGGCTCAGTTTTTGTACTCCCATTTCTTGCTGCCAGCCCAGGCACTGGGCAGGCTCCCTGCTAATGCTCCCTGCACTGACACGTGCTCATCTCTCCTCTCATCCCACAGAGTGAGACTTGGCCTTGCTCCTAATTTCACAGCACTGCCCATTACCCAGCTAGAACCTCAAACCAACCACTCTGCAGGGAAGGAGTCACCTGCTCACCTCTGCTTTCCAGGCCCGCTCTGTCTCCTCAAGAATGTTCCTGTTGATTTCATTGTGCTGGTTCTTCAGCTTGTCCAGCTCCATCTCCCACAGCTGCCTGCACACAGAACAGAACAGAACAGAACAGAGCAGAGCAGAATGAGCCCCCTTAGGCTCAGGCACTGGAATGGCCCCAGGGGATGGATCCCAGGAGCTCTGGATGGCTGGGACATGGAAGATCAGCAGTCTCCAGCTCCCTGGGCTGTGTGAGTCACTGTCCCAGCAGTGAGCTGTTCCAGAGCACACAAACAAGCAGCGTGCAAAGATGCTGGGCCAAACGAGGGGAATTCCCCTCAGCAAAATTCAGTCCAGCCCCAGGGAAGATCTGTACCAGGAATCAACCTGAGCAGCTGTGCTGTTCTGGTTCTGGAGAAGTTTAAAGCTGGGCATTTCCACCGGTGCTTTGGGAACACCTGGAGCATCCCTGCCCAGCTTTAAATACCCAGAGCTTAGTGTAGCTGGACAGCTGTGGGGAGCAGACAGGGAAATCAGTCTGCCCTAATTCTGGGGAGTCGAAGCTCACTCAGAAGTAGCAGTTACAAGCTGAGTCAATCCACCAAGCCCAAACTCTAATCTTGTGGGATCTTTATGTCACAAGTATCCAGGAGTCTGCTTGTGACTGGGATCAAGGAAGATTTAATCCAGAGCCCTGATGCTGAAAGAGGAGATAAAACCTCTAGGGCACGTAACTGGCCAGCAGTGCTGGCTCATTGTCTCTCCTCTGTCCCAACCAAAGCACTGGATTCACCCTGAGGCAAAATGACAGGAAGGAACAGTGCTCTGGGCAGCACTAATCAGGTGAGGGATAAGAGCCTTACTTCTCATCAGACTGCTCTGCAATCAGAGAGGCAATCTTGTTTTCCTTCTCCTCCTGCTCCTTGAGCAACCTGCACGGGAGAAAAGGGACAGCACAGCTGGAATCCCAAGGGAGCAGGGCCCACATCCAAGCATCCCCAGGCCCAGCCCCACACCACAGGCTGGGGATGGCTCCCTGCACTGTGTGTGGGAAAACAGCCACCAACAGCAGCCTCTGGAGCACAAATGCTGCTGTCTCACGGCACTGCACAAAGGCTGTGGCACAGAACCAGGCTGGCTGCAGGCAGCTGAGCTGCTCCCCCTGCACGTGCTCTGCCACCAGCACCTGGGGGAAAAGGGCTGAGCACTCGGAGCCATCGCTGGAGGAGTTTTACCCAAAAACATCACCGAGCCCTCAGAATAAAAACCAGACCTCTATGGCATAACAGAATGGCTCCATAAAAATGCCAATTCAAATATAGGGCCTATCCTAAATTCATCCACGTACAGGTCTGACCTAAATACTCGCTGCTTCCTAAAAGTTTAAGGCTCTTTGCTCCATCAGGCTTATATCACAGTTAAGCAAGGTCTTCTTCCCCAAAAAGAAACACTTGCTTTTCTGTACAAATACCTTCTGCCTTTCTCACAGAGCTTCTCAATTTCAGCTTTGAGATCCTGCTCTTTCTGCAGGAATTCTTTCTTTTCTTTCTCCATCTTTTTCTTAGTCTCTTCTCGTTTGATCGTAACATCCTGAATGGCTTTCAGGATCTCCTGGAGTAAGAGAAGCATCACACAGATACAGAGCAAAATTACCAAGTAATGGTTTTGATTTAAAATACTTTTTTTTTGATTAATTGATTAATGAGATTACACAGCAAACTCTTTATTTTTAGCAGACTGAGTCAAGATATAAATTGGTTGTTATGAGGAAACTCAGGAGACTGATGCTCTGGACTGCAGGTTCTCCTTCCTCTTCACAACGACTTTAAAATTAATTACAGGGCGGGTTAAACAAAAAAAGTTCTTCACCAAATACCTGGTGGTTTTTCATCTCCTCTTCCCTCCGCTGCTGGAGCTGCTTAAGCTGGACCTGCAGCTGATTCTCCACCTGCCTCTGTTTGTCCAACACCTCCTGGTACCGCTCCTTCAGCAAGGCCCTCTCGGACATCATCTTGTCCTGCAGTGGAGAGCACAACTCCTCTGTGACAAGGACAGCCTGTAACAGCCTTCAAGGCTGACATTTGATGGTCTTGGTCTTTTCCAACTGCAATGATTCTGTGATTCTATTTTGACAGGAATAAAGTGGGAAGAACAGCTCCAGCTCGCGTGGCTGGGAGTGTGAGCAGCAGAGCCTGAGCACAGGGCTTTGATACCCACCAGGTTCTTCTCGATGTCCTGGTCCGTGTTCACGTCTGCATCAGCTGCCTTGAAGTCGGTCTGTGAAGGGAAATGATTGAGCTCAGCCCCTGCAGTGACCAGGGAGGGACTCCAAGCCCTCCCTGGGCACCTGTTCCAGTGTTCTGCCACCCTCCACAGAAAGGAGTTCTCTTGTCATATTGTGATGAAACATATTTTAGTTTATGGCTATTGTTCCTCATCCTATAGCTGCGCACCAACAAAAACAAGCTGGCACCCTCCTCTGACACTCCTTGGAGATATTTATATGCATTAATGGGATCCCCTCTCAGACTTATCCAGCCCAACCAGGCCCAGCTCCTGCATCCTCTCCTTATTAGAGAGATGCTCCAAACCCCTCATCATCTTCACAGCTTCCACTGCATCCTTCTTCAATAGCTCCTTCTCTTTCTTGTACTGAGCAGCCCAGACCTGAACACAGCACTCCAGACGTGGCCTCACCAGGGTCAAATTTTAATTAAAGATTAATTAAAATTCAAGCAGAAGACTGGGCACACAGCAGCGGTACAGATGTGTTTTGCCCTTCAGTCACGGATTATTCAGTTCTTTGTCCTCTGGGTTCCACAGGAGCCTTGCAGAGCCCTGGCCCCGCACAGCACAACCCCGGAGCCCCGGGGGGAGCAGCACCCACGGGCACCGCGGAGCCCCGGGAGCTGCACCCACCTGCACCGCGATGTTCTGCGACGGCCTGGCCGGGGCCGCCTCCTCGTCGGGCTCCTCGGCCGCCGCTCCGCTCTGCCCCGCGGCCTCCGCGCCGCCGGGCCCGGGCTCCGCATCGCCGCCGGAGCCGGGGGCGGCCGCGGGCTCCGCGTCCCCGCCGGGCCCGGGCTCGCTGGGGCTCTCCGGGGCGGAGAGCGGGCTCCCGCTGCGGAACGGGGACATGGCTCAGCGCTGCGCCGCGGCCGCGTCCCGGCTCCATCCCGGCCCCATCTTCGCTCCATCCCCGCTCCATCCCGGCCCCATTCCGGCCCCATCTTCGCTCCATCCCCGCTCCATCCCGGCCCCATCTTCGCTCCATCCTCGCTCCATCCCGGCCCCATCTTCGCTCCATCCCCGCCCCATCCCGGTGCCGCTGCCGCCCCGCCGGCCCCCCCCGTTACCTGCCGGGCAGCGCGGCGGGGCCGGGCTCGCAGAGGCGCGGCGGATCGGGGCCGTCGCCCTGCGCCTGTTCCAGCGCCATGGGGGCGGCTGCGGGGCTGGGCCGGGCCGGCGGAGCGGCACCGGGCGGCACCGGGGGGCACCGAGCGGCACCGGGCGGAGCGCACGACCCGCGCCCCCGCCGCGCCGCCCCTTCCGCCCCGCGCCCCGGCGGATGTGACGCCGCTGTCAGCGGCACCGCGGTTCCGGCGGCGGCGGCGGCTCATGCCCGGTGAGCGCTGCGGGGCGGCACCGGCGGGCGGCGGGCTCCGGGCGGCGGGAGGGATGCGCACCGGGCCGGGGAGCGCTGCCGCCGGCTCCCCGCGGGCCCGGGCGGAGTGGCGGAGCGGAGCGGGGCTGCTGTGCCCGGGGGTGACCTCCGCGGTGTCCCCGGTGCCGGTGCCCGGCGGAGCGGGGAGCGCCGCGGCTGCCCCGGGGCGCTGCGCGGTGCCGCTGCCGGGACGCTTAAAGCCCGACTTGTAGGGAGAGGAACGCGGAGTTCGGTGTCCAGCGGCAGAGGCAGCTGATGAGTTGTGTCAGAGGGGAATGGACCGGGTTGAAGGAGGAGAAGGGCCAGGAGTGTCGAGCTCCGGGCACGGCCGAGGCAGCGGGATCTCGGGAGGTGTTTGCCCCGCTCTGCGGTGCCGTGGTTTGCGGGCTGCGGGTTGAACCGGGGCTCGACGGTGATTTCTGCCCGTGCCAGGGAAAAGCAGGTTCCTCCGGTCGTGGAGCAGGTGAGGAACGAGTTCGGTGGGCTCCTGCAAAAGAGGAACCGGCTCTGGGCTGCCCGCCGAGCATGGCGGTGCCCGTCGTGTTTGTTCTGGGGAGCCACGCATCAAGAGTTTCTTATCAGTTCCTTATCAGAGGCAGGAGGGGGAAGTGGCTGCTCCTGCCAGCCCCGCGCGGTGTTTCCTGGCCCGGGGCTGGCACCCGGCAGGGCAGGGCAGGGCTGGGATCGATCCCTGGGTGTGCCTCCCGTTCTGAACCCTGGGAAGGAGCCGCCGGTGTTTCCCGGGAAAGGGATCTGCCGTGCAGCGGGTTGGTGGCAACCCCTATGGGGCTCTGTGGAACCTTCAGGTGGCCCTGGCCACCGTGTCCCTCATCAGGAGGGGTTGTCACCAGTTTCACGTCTGCTGTTACAGCCCTCGTGTCTGATGCCGCATTGGAGGCGGGGAGCGCCGCTATGGAGTGCGGGGATGGAGGCCACGCTCTGCATCCACACGTGCCTTTGGCTCAGCGCTTCCTGGATCCCCCTGGCCTCGCCGGCCCTGGACACTGAGGGCAGCCACGGGAAGCTGACGTGGGCCGTCAGCCTGGAGGCGCCCGAGGAGGAGCTGGAGCAGCGGGCAGAGGAGCTGGCCCGGACTGCAGGGCTGGTGAACATGGGCCGTGTCGGGGAGCTCAAGGGCCATTACCTCTTTGCCTACCAGCCCGACGGCCACGCAGCGGCTGAGCACGAAGCCATCAGGAGATCCGTGGACACTTTGTTTGCACAGCACGACAGCGTGCGGTGGCACTCGGAACAGAAGCTTCTGAAGCGCTCCAAGCGCAGCCTGCACTTTAACGATCCCAAATACCCCCAGCAGTGGCATCTGGTGAGTGCTGTCCCAGCTCCTGCTGTGCTCCCAGGCTCGGGCTGTCTGTGTGGCCACGGGTGAGCTGTCGTGCAGGAGGCAGAGCAGCCTCTTTCTGTGCTTTGGAGACGAGGGAGCTCGCTGAGAGCTCACCCTTCCTGCCGTGTGCTTGCTGTGATGATGGGAGGAAGCAGCTCCTGCAGCTGGTTGTGCACTGGTGGCGCTGGGGTGGGCAGAGGGCTTTGGCTGGAGCACACTGTGTCCCCCACCTCATGGCTCCAGCAACTGTTGTTCATTGTTAGCCTCAATTAATCTTCCCTGACTGTCCTGTGAGTCCTTCCCGTGCTGGCCCCAGCCCCACACTTCATGTCCAGTGCCCCCAGGAGGTCCCCTCAGCACTGACCATGTCCCCTCACTGTCCTTTCTGGTGCTTAGAACAACCGCAAGAGCCCCGGGAAGGACATCAACGTCACGGGCGTGTGGGAGCGGAACGTGACGGGGCGCGGGGTGACGGTGGTGGTGGTGGACGACGGCGTGGAGCACACCATCAAGGACATCCAGCCAAACTACGTGAGTGCCTGTGCAGGCTGCAGGCCAGGCAGACAGGAGTGTGTGAGAGCTGGGAGTCCAGCCTGTGCCATCACTTTGGCTCAGCCAGGGCGGAAAGTGCCAGCAGCAAACCTTTCCTGGGAGGTTCTGCACCCAGGTTTTGGGGTTACCTGCCTTTGTGCAACCCGTGGGAGGCAGCTGGCATCCCTCTGACCCATAGCAGTGCCTGGAGCTGCCTTGGTTGGTCCTTTCCCCACAGCAGCAGCTGGCAGTGTTGAGCAGCAGCCCTATGAGGAAGCAGCCTCCAAGTTCCCGTGACGCCCAGCCCGTGTTGTGTTCTCTTAACTCCTCCTTTTCCCAAACTGAGGAGAGCAGAGCCCCAGTCCTGACCGTGGGTCTGTTTGCAGAGCCCAGAAGGCAGCTATGACCTGAACTCCAACGACCCTGACCCCATGCCTCACCCCGACGAGGAGAACGGGAACCACCACGGGACGCGCTGCGCCGGGGAGATCGCGGCCGTGCCCAACAACAGCTTCTGCACCGTGGGGGTCGCCTTCGGCAGCCGCATCGCGGGTAGGTCACCCTGCCAGGGCCTGCCTTCCGTCCCTGGGTGCTGCAATAGCATCACTAGAGCTGGACAGGACCTGCCTGAGCTCGGCTGGCCCTTGGTGCCACAATAGCAGCACGGGGAACAGGAGGGTTTGCCCCAGATCCAGCAGGACCTGGCATTGCCTCAGCTCTCCAAAGCTGGGCTGACCTTGCAGGGTGAGCACAGCGGGGCAGCCTCGAGCCGGGAGTGTGTTTGCAGTTTGTGCAGCTCATGGGACCCGTGTTCCTCACGTCCCTTGTCCTCTGTCCTGCAGGCATCCGAGTGCTGGACGGGCCCCTCACGGACAGCATGGAGGCCATTGCCTTCAACAAGCACTATCAGATCAATGACATCTACAGCTGCAGGTGAGCCCTGGGACCCTGAGCTGGCTGCCAGCCCTGCTCTGCCTGGGGATGGGCTCACAGCTCGTGGCTGAGTGCTCACACCAGCTCCCATCCTCCTGTGGCTGCAGTTAGCCTTGATAACCTTGTTATCAGATGGCCTTGTTGTTAACCACAATCCTGTTCCTGGAGACCTGTCCTGGGCTCTGCACAGCTCTCACAGGTGTGAGGTGTCCCTCTGTGTGCTGCTGCAGCACATCCTCCGGGCTGGCTGTGCTGGAGGGGGCACTGTGCTCCCCTCTGTGGTCAGGCAGCCCTGGCTGAGCCGTGTGACGGGGACTGGAATGTGTGAGAAGCCTCTTGTTAAATAAAAATCAAACATTTTGTACACTGGAATCTGACCCAGGGGCACAGTGCAGACACGACAGCCATGTCCCAGCAGCGAGGGGCCATCCTGATGGGTGGGAAAGTGCAGTGCTCTGCAGTCCCAGTCATGGCTCTGGGAGCAGCTGGGAGCTGGCTGTGGTGACAGGAAGAGCCTCCTGTGCCTCCTGGGGCTGTCACCTCACGGTGTCTCTCTTTGCAGCTGGGGTCCCGACGATGATGGGAAGACTGTGGATGGCCCCCACCAACTGGGAAAGGTAAATCCCAGCTCCAGCAGCCCTGGGGGAGCCTCCAGGGCTTGTGGCTGTTGCCTGCCCGTTCAGGGGGTGAGGGACATTGCTGTGACACTCTGCACATCTGCGTGTGTCCCTCAGTGCCAGCAGAGGTGTCCCTGTCACTGTGGGGTTGGGAGAGGCCACGCTGCAGCAGGAGGGCAGGGCAGGGTGAGCTTTCCAAGCAGAGGCTGCTTCCAGCAGGGAAGGGCTCTTTCACAATCTATGGAAGGTGTGGCACTGACAGCTTGTGCAGCCCATGGGGTGCTCTCTGCTCAGGAGGCCGAGCTTTCCCTGTGCTCAGGGTGGCTCTCCAGGCAGGGATGGTGCCCTTGGATACTGGGAGTAAATAAGGGGGGGTGGGATTGCAGTGGGAGGAAGAGTCAGAGCTGAGGCTGCTCCTTCCCAGGCCATTAAGGTTTTCTCCAAGTTCCTGTGCTGCAGAACTGCTGCAGAACACACCCAGCTTGCCTGTGCTGCAGCAAGGGGTCACTAAGGGGCCCCAAAACCAGCAGTGGGGTGTGGTTCTGCTCCAGTGCTCTTCTGCTGTGCTTTTCCAACCACAGCTCAGCAGCGCTGACAACCGAGCTGTTCGTTCACCATAACAAATAGTCCCCAGTCCTGCAAGTTAATTTATTCCCTTCCTGCCTGCAGAGACAGCTGGAACAAGCTCCAGGACACAAAGCACAGGCAGAGCTCGCTGTGCCACAGAGAATGGGCAGAATGTGCCCTCATCTGCCAGGGGAGGGAGAGCAGGGTGGTCACTTCCAGTGGGGTTGTGTTCTTGCTCATCCCTCAGACGTGTCCTTCCCCTAGGTGGGAGCAGAGTCTGGGCTGAAATGTGCTGCCAGGTGGGGCCCCAGCTGTGGCGTGTGCCAGCAAAGGCAAAGCCCCGGGGTCTGTGGGGCTGGGCACTCAGAGAGGGGCAGTGGGGAGCCCTGATCACACGTGCTGGGCTGGCTGCTGCAGGAAGCCCTGGGATCAGTGTGGAAGGAGCCCCCAGCCCTGGGATCAGTGTGGAAGGAGCCCCCTGCCCTGGGATCAGTGTGGAAGGAGCCCCCTGCCCTGGGATCAGTGCAGAAGGAGCCCCCAGCCCTGGGATCAGTGTGGAAGGAGCCCCTGCCCTGGGATCAGTGTGGAAGGAGCCCCCTGCCCTGGGATCAGTGTGGAAGGAGCCCCTGCCCTGGGATCAGTGTGGAAGGAGCCCCCAGCCCTGTCCCTCTCCACAGGCTGCCCTGCAGCACGGGGTGATCGCGGGTCGCCGTGGCTTCGGGAGCATCTTCGTGGTGGCCAGTGGCAACGGGGGCCAGCACAGTGACAACTGCAACTACGATGGATATGCCAACTCCATCTACACTGTCACCATAGGTGAGCCCTCTGTCTGCTCCCCTCCCAGCCTGGAGCAGTGAGGTGATCCCGAAAGCACAGAGCCTGCCCATCTGGGAGCTGGCTGGATGCTGGGAATCTGTGGGGAATGTCTGGGGACAAGCCTGGCAGTGGCTGGGGGGTGCTGGGCTTCAGCCCTCATCCCTGCAGTTTGGGGCTGAGCTACAGAGCAAGAGGAGGCCAGAGAAATTCCTGCCTGTGCCCAGGCCTCCCTCCCAGGGCTGTGACAGACTCTGCCATGTTCAGGGCATGATCTGGAATGCAGCATTCCCAGCATTTGTGTTAGAGGAGAAGTGTGTGAGATCCACGTTCTCCAGAGCAGAAGCTGCGTGAGGGGCAGATCTGTGTGACACTGAGCACAGCGAGGGATTATTTATCATTGCTGCCCTTTCTGTAGATCTTCCAGGTGGGCAAAACACAGGCTTGGTTCTGATTTCCCTGCCCAGCTCCCAGGCCCTGGAGCAGCACGTGGCAGGAGAGGCTCTCAGGGCATCAACACCCCCAAGTCCCAGCAGTGGGAGCAGGGCAGTTTCACCCAGGGGGTGCCTCTGCTGTTTCCCCAGGAGCTGTGGATGAGACAGGCTCCATGCCCTTCTATGCTGAGGAGTGTGCCTCCATGCTGGCTGTCACCTTCAGCGGCGGGGACAAGATGATGAGGAGCATCGTGAGTACCTGTGTCCCCTGTCTGTGCCCTCCTGGCCACCCCAGGGAC